GTCAGGCATGTAACAAAGCTGTTGTGGATAGCAATGACTTCATTGTATGAATATATATATATATATATATATATATATACTCAGATGTACTGCAAAAATTGTTTTCTTGATCAGTATTTTTGCATTGTTTTTAATCACAAATAATAATAATATTTTACAGTTACACTTTTTTAAAGAAATGCAGCCATGGTGAGCATAAGAGACTTCTTTCAAACAAACAAACAAAATCTTACCACCACCTTACTCTTCTCTATGTGAGAGTGCATTTAAATTTGTTAAAGGGGTCATATGATGCTGCTAAAAAGAACATTATTTTGTGTATTTGGTGTAATGAAATGTGTTTATGCGGTTTAAGGTTAAAAAAACACATTATTTTCCACATACTGTACATTATTGTTTCTCCTCTATGCCCCGCCTTTCTGAAACGCGTCGATTTTTACAAAGCTCATTGGTCTGAAAAGCGAGGTGTGCTCTGATTGGCCAGCTATCCAGTGCGTTGTGATTGGCCGAATACTTCAAGCGTGTGACGGAAATGTTACGCCCCTTACCATACTGTGATGCCCTGTCCGGCCGGAGTGTAACATAAAACCATGTCTGCATTTGTGATCTGAGAAATTACAAACTACAAACGCTACTCTACACTGCCCAAAAAACTCGTGTTTGAATCGTCAGTGGCAAATTCTTTAAATATAAAAAAACGTACTTACAGTCTGTGAGTCAGAACAGCCGGCATTGTAGTCTACTCTACCAGGATCAGGAAACAGTCCTCCATAAAATGCACTGGACACATCTGAATATTTGGGTTAAACTGTTCTGGAACAGTGTTGTAAATACAGCTTAACCACTGATTTCTAATTGTGTCCTCTTTTGGAAGACCAAACAAAGTAGTTTTGCTTTTACAATGAAACAGCGTCACACACCTTGAGTGAGCGGAGGCCGGAGGCCTAGAGTAAGCGGAGGGTGGCTTTAGTGAGCAGAGGCAGGTGGGCTTGAGAACGGCGCGGCCGGCGGATTCGATGAAGAAGCGGCTGGTGGGCTTGCGGCAACCACATGTGACGACCCCAGGCTGGACTCCGCTTCGTCCACGGTGAAGGCCGATCCGGCGATTGAAAGCGCAAAGTTGATGTATTTCCTCAGCGACCAGCACGGATCAGCTCCAGGCATGACGAAGCGGATATCGTCCTCTTTTGGAAGGCCAACCAAAGTAGTTTCGCTTTCACAACGAAACACACAGCCTTCATGGCATGGCGGCGGCGGCAACAACAATACTACAGCGAGAATAAAAGTTACGCCTTCTTTCTTTGCGTGAACATTTGGGCGGCGTTATGCAAATCTTCCCACATCATGACGTAGGTATGTGGGGGCGTGTTAGAACGAGCCGTTTTAGGTAGGCGTGGTTGACTCTTAACTTTTATAAAGAATATCTCTTTGGATTTGAGACTTTAGTCTTTGCAACTTTACAGATCTTTTTTATGCACCAAGAGCTTGTAACACTCCAAAGAGAAAGGAAAAATTGAAATCGCATCATATGACCCCTTTAAGATATTATTTAACAGGGGACGGCTTATTTTTCCTAATTCAACCATCAAAAAAATTTATTTGTGCCTGATTTAAAAATATGCCTATTTTGTTTTTAAAAACTGTGAGGCAAGTTTAAATAATTTTTTGTGGTAACAGACACTGCGCAATGAATGTTGTCGATTGAGCATAACTTTTATTGATCCCAAAACATTTCTTACTAAATTTAGTGAGATTTTTAGGTGGGAAAAAATACTTAAATTAAAAATTCCCTGAGATTACATCTCATATTAAAATTGCTTCTCAGATAAATGTTTCCTGTTTTAAGGATGTTTAGGTATTTCTATTGGAAAACAAGACTAAACCTTGATTAATAAATTGATTTTTTTTTTATTTTTTGCAGTGTAGCCACTCGTACAGATAGGATTTCTCAGCTGTTGGTTTTCTGGTCACAAGGGAAAGGTCTTTCAGGAATGGAGATTTGTAGTGTAGATTTGTTGTCAGAGCACTTGCCGTTAAATTACAGCTGTCCAGAGTGGTATGAACAAGAAAGTAGATACCCAAGGAGACGACTCAACGCCTGGTTCAGCCCTTTTCACTTTGGCTTGGGAGGCTCTTTTACACTCAAGTCACAGCCTGACTCATTTAAACCGAGCACATGTCTTATTATGCCTCAAGACTTCAAAGCTCTTTTTTTTCTAAAGAATACCAGCCTTACATCTCTCTGTCTTATTGTCGTCTTCCAGATGTAAGTATTTTGTTTACCAAATGCTGTTCTCCAGATCTCAGCATTTCCACAATCTAAGGAGGAAAATGAAAGTGAGTGTGTTGAAGGATTATTTTACATTATGCCAAGGGAGGAGGACAGCAAATGGATCACACTCTTTGTAAACAGAGAAAAAAATATTTTTTTTGTGGAGTGATTTACTGTGGGGTGTCAGATTTATATGAGCAGAGAAGATGCTGGGGGTGTAGCGCGTAGAAAAGAGAAAAATATAGCGAGCGGGAAGAGATATGGTGTGAACGAAAGACTGCAAATGGGAAAGAGAAAAGTGTGTAAATATTCACTGTGATGGGTTGTGGCACTGCAGCCCCTGCAAACAGGAATGAGATTATTGCAGCTGAGAGAGCAAGAGATGTTCTCCATTTGTTTTGGCAAACATGTTGGAAGTACAGCGATTGCTCGCTTTCCCCTTCTCCATAAAAAAACTAAAAACAAAGTGACCCCTGTTGCACTGTAGGTTTTGCTTGAATCCCACTGCGACATCACCGGCTTCCTTTTGCAGACATTGTGATCTCATTTTACATCACAGTGGCGAGCTGTCTGTTTGTTTTGATGCAGTTGCTAAGGAACTGTCCCCAAGGACACGGCACTGCAGGTTGGTCTTTAGAAAGGTGGGGTGACTTCATAATGGAGAGGAGATACAAATAAGCATATGGAGGAAGAGGGAGGGTTGGGGACTCAGGTCCCCTCCGCCCCATATGCCTGCCTCTGTTTAACTTGCATGGCTCCTCATTAAAATCAACATCTGGTGTTCTATCCACAGTGACACCCATTTATCATTCCAGTGCTTCATTGGGACAAAGCGTCTCACACATACAAACGTGCACATTGAAGTATGTGCATTGCGATTCGTATTATTTCTCGAGCTCCCTCTCTATTTCATGCCAGGCAGTCTCAACTGATTTAGGGCTCTGAACATGTGGATTGTCATTTCAACACTGGAAAAATATATTTATTTTGGTATTTTTTGTCCCATATATATATATATATATATATATATATATATATACTGTATATAATTAGATATATATCTTGTTTTAGGGATGTGGGTAAAAAAAAGAACTTAATTGTAAATGTAGTGTGTGTATATATACAGTATATACATATATATACTGTATATACACACACACACACATTAAATTTAATATTAAGACAAGTTTTCAAAGAATATACTATTCATAATTAAGTTTTTTTTTGCCCCCAGTTCGCTGTTCTAAGTCATATATTATTTGAAAACATATTTTACATCTTAAGTAAAATAGATGAAAATTTAATTTACACAATTTCAGATCTTGAGTTTATTTGACTTAATAAATGTCCAAATCAAATGTCTAATCGGGTAAGAATAAAAAGGATTCAATATATTCTCTGAAAGCAAATAATAAAATCAAACAAAATTGTTTCTCAAATAAATGACTCCTGTTTTAAGTATTAGATATTTTTACAAGAAAGAAAGACAAAAAATACTGATTAAGAAAATGATTTTAAGCCTATAGAAAGGGAGATTATTTATTAAGCATTATACAAATTAATATATATAGAGCTTCAACATGGTAGCAAATCATGTAGCATTATGTAATACATTGAATAGAAATTCTCCTATTTGCATACCATTTGCCAAATATAATTCCCCATTCTGACATATACTGTATGTATATCCATTATTCCTTAATATGATATTTTTTTTTAACTCATATCATAATTGTTCCCTTGTCTACTCCTTTTAAAAAATGAGATGTGCTGAATTTGTGGGCTTTGTAAAATTGCAGAAGGAATATTACAGAACAGAATATTTTGTGGATTTTACAGAAATGCTAAGTGCTGCCTGAGCTATATTTAGCCATCTGCCTCATTAACATATAAACTCATTATATTTGTTTGTATGTAGCAGACCTTTGTGTAACGACCCCAATACGTAATTTGCAGGCTTGTTTGTAATATTGAACCACACAACAGGGCATTTACTGATTTAACCTCTGAACCTGTGGCTTCACCATTACACACCATGACATGTTGTGTTGTTTTCAGGTCAAAAGACCTGAATACAAACATTCCATGTTTTATTTTTGTCCCTGCACTTTATGCATTGTTTAACTTTTTTATGTTTTTATTTTCATGTGCAGTGCCATTTAAAATATTAACACTTTAATTAATGTCTTAGGTTTTTGTTTTCGTGTTTTAATCTGTAAAAAATGTGAAATTAAGGCGTTTTAAAAATGAATGAGTTACTGGCTGCTTTCTACTCATTGTGTACAAAGAAATAAATTTTTATTTGTTATACTCCTGGTGTGGTTTGTCTTTTTTTTCAGATGTTGGGATTTAATATTAAATCTATTTCTTTTTCTATTTGCATTTAACATTTTTGGTGAATTTCTCAGGTTTTGCAGTTGATGATCCTATTGGTTCCTCTCCATCTTAAACTCAGCAGCTTTGTTGCTTTCCTTTGTTTCAGCTCCAGTTGTGTCCGTCAGTCT